CCCCCCGCCCCCCGCCCTGCTCGCCGCCCCCCTCCCTCGGGGGCTCCTGCTGCCCTTTCGTGCTAACCCATGCTCCCGGGGGCGCAGGTTTGCCGTCGCGCGCGATGCCTCGATCGCGGCCCTGTCGCCGGAAAGCCCCCACGCCGGGGGCGGGGCCCCGGGCGTGCCGGGGCCGGCGCACGCAAGCAGCGCCTCCCTGGCCTCGGTGGCCTCGGCCGCCACGATGGCCTCCCCGGTCGAGGGGGACGCCTCGGCGCAATTGTCCCCCTCGTCGCAGGCGCGCGCGGCCGGCGTCAAGCGCCACATCGAGACGCACTATGCCCGGCTGGCGGATGCCCAGGCTGCCCAGGCCGAGGCCGACCGGCGCGCGGCCCAGGAGGACGCGGCCAAGGTGTCCCCGGCCACGCTGGACCGATCGACCGCGGCCAAGTACTATGTGGAGCAGCGTCTGCGGGCCAACATGCAGGCATTCAATGAGCGCGACGCGCGCCGGCGCCGGCTGGACGCCATCCTGGCCGCGGATCCGACCCTGTCCGAGGCGGATCGCGCGGCGCGTCGAGCCGCGCATGCGCGCGCCGAATCCGCCCACATGCGCCGGGCCCGGACCCGTCTGTCGGCCGCCGACTTTGAGACCATCCGCGTCATTGGCCGTGGCGGCTTTGCCGAAGTCCGCCTGGTCCGCGACAAGTCCTCCTCCGAGATCTTCGCCATGAAGATTCTCCGGAAGAACGACGTCCTGGAGGTGCGCCGCCGCCGCCGCCTCTCTTTGCCCTCCTTCCCTCCCGCCTCCCGCCCGCCCCACGCCCCTGTGCCTCTGACCGTGCTCCTGCCCGGCTGTCTTCCCTCGGCCGGTCCTGCCGCGGCCGGGCCCCCTCCGCATGTGCGCCCGTGCGCCCGTGCGCCTGCACCCACACGCCGCCCCCCATGGGCCCAATGCACACGGACAGTGGAACCAGGTGTCGCACATCCGCGCCGAGCGCGACCTACTGGCACACGCGGCCCGGACCACCCCCTGGGTCACCGAGCTGCACTATGCCTTCCAGGATCGCGCATACCTGTACCTCATGCTGGAGTATGTGCCGGGCGGGGACCTGATGACCAAGCTCATTGAGTTGGATGTCTTCCCGATGCACGTGGCTCGGCATTATGCGGCCGAGCTTTTTGCCGCCATCAATAGCATCCACGAGATGGGCTTCGTGCACCGGTGCGTCGGCGCGGGCCTTCCCCTTCCCCTCCCTCCCTGCCCCGTGCCTCCCTGTCCTCCGGGGTTCTCGTGCGTGCGTGCGCACGTGCGCGCGTGTCGCTGACATCCACGAATTTGCAAATGCCCCTCCCCGTTGCCATCCCCCCATTCCCCCCCCCCCCCCCCCCCCCCCCCCCCGCCCCCCCCCCCCCCCCCCCCCCCCCCCCCACATTCGTCCCCGCCCCCCCTCCCCCCCCCCCCCCCCCCCCCCCCTGCCCGCCTTCCCAGTCGGGAGTACTGGAAGCTGCTGGACATGGTTGTCCGGCAGATCATCTTCGGCGGCAAGGGCATCGACCCCACCTTCTCGGAGAAGTACCAGATCGACATCAACACCATCATCAGCGAGTTCGCCGACAAGTCCAAGCTCCAACACCTGGAGCATGCTCACGAGCAGCTGATCAAGGAGAAGGAGAAGCTGGACTCCTCGTGGGCCGACACCTTCGACAGCATGCAGACCGAGAACAAGAAGAAGATCGCCGATCTGGAGGCCACCATCGGGGCCAAGGAGGCCGAGCTGCTGACCGCCGTGGCCGCCGCCGCCGAGAGTGCCCCCTTGAAGGTGGCCATCGAGGCGCTGAAGGCCGACAAGCATGACGAAGCGACCAAGGCCCTGGAAAGCGCCGGCCTGAGCCTGGACCTCATCAAGAAGGTGGTCCCGGCTGGGACGGGGCCCGCTGGGCCGGGTGGGGCGCCGCCGCCGCCGGCCCCTGGTGGTGGTGGCCCGCCGCCGCCGCCGCCGCCGGGCCCGCCGCCTGGCATGGGTGGCCCGCCGCCGCCGCCGCCGCCGGGCCCGCCGCCGGGGATGGGCGGTCCGCCGCCGCCGCCGCCTCCGCCGCCGCCGCCCGGCATGGGTGGCCCGCCGCCGCCTCCGCCGCCGCCGCCGGGGATGGGTGGTCCGCCGCCGCCTCCGCCGCCGCCGGGGATGGGTGGCCCGCCGCCGCCGCCGGGGATGGGCCCGCCGGGGCCGCCTCCGCCGCCGGGGTTCGGTGGCCCGCCCCCTCCGCCGGGGTTCGGTCCGGCGCGGCCGGCCGGGCCGAAGATCGCCCCGAAGGGCAAGATGCGCCAGTTCCACTGGGACAAGCTGCCGGATCGCCTGATCAAGAACACCTTCTGGAGCGATCGCGCCATCGATTACGACCGGTACATCAAGCTCTTCAACTTCTCCGAGTTTGAGGACACCTTCACCGCCAAGCAGGCGGCTCCGCTCAAGGAGGCGGCCGACAAGCCGAAGAAGGAGGAGAAGATCTCGGTGCTTGATTCCAAGCGGTCGTACAACTGCTGTGCGTTTTTGGTGGTGGCATTCCTCCTGCGGGGGTGGGTG